CTAAACATAATATTCTAATGAAATTCGGACCACGCTTTACATGTCCCCAGGATGCTTCATCGGATTAAGGACGATTGCTAATCGATTTCTATAACTTTCAGATAAACTGATGCGCATGATTCTGAGTCAGTTAGTGAGTCGGTAGTGGAGAGCATTGGAAGTGGTTCTTGACAGCTTCCTACAGCCAGCTCCTGTTCAATTCTACTGTTTCCACCAAAGTTTTCTTCGTGCAAAGTGTCCAGGTTGTTACTCAAAGGTCATCTGTGTATGTGATGACACAACCACACCCGGCAGGCTGTTCCATGCGAGGACTACCCTAATTGACAAGGCAGTGTGTCAATTTTGAAACTGGTCCGTGTTCAGACTCGAAAACACTAGGTGATCAGAACGTATTTTGTAGTCAGCCACTGTAAGTACAACATAGATACCCTACACATATATACCCTATTTATACCACATACATACCACACATATATGCCACATATATATGCCACTATAACTAAAACTCTCGAAAAACGCAGACAGCAGCAACTGAATGATGTTGAAGTGCATTTGACAAAGGAGTCTAAAGTGATAATTATGCTTAACAGTGAGAAAAGTGGGAGATTTTTAAATGATGAAAAAGCGGCCATGGACGCCAATAAAATCAAGAAAAAGGCCTCATAAACAAGGTACAATAAAAAACTTTCTGATGTAAAGTTCTTTCCTGAAAGCAAATTTCAGGGGAAAGTGATAGAACGGCCAGGAAGAAAAACGGAGCAGACTCTGGTCCGTTTTGATCCTCATCCTGCGGTGTATATTGCTGTCTCATTAAATTCGTGTTTTTTTCTGGATAACCGTTCGACTAGGCTACAGCTAAACAGTTTCAAATGATCATTGGTGTCCATCTTCCAGAAGAGTGTGTTCATGTCCACGACTGTTATGTTATCAGTTAGGTACTCCACCGCTTCCTTTCAATTCCTGAAAATAACACCCATCTTGGTTTCTTTCTTCAGCAGCTTCTCAGATTTGTGTGAAGTTCTGAAACTTTCCAATTATTTAATTCTGTACGGACAGCGACCTTTGTGCTACATCTGCAACATCTGCAAATGAGGTCTGCTGACCTTAGTCTTTTGTCAGCCGCACACTGCTTATGTCCATCGTAGTCAAGCCATAGTATCACATTTTGATATAAAGACCAGAACAAGAAAACATTCCCATGGCTATTCCTGATTGGAAGCTACACTCTGTAGGCAGTCGATTTTAATGCCCCTCCGATGGAAAAACACTGACGCGCCAACAGAACGAAAGTTCATTCAAAAATATGTTTTCTATTCTCGACGTAAACTCATCAGATGACATACAATTCGCTAACTTTTGGTGTACTGGAACGAAATCTTCAGCCTGTATTGGCAGTTTACCTATGGTATGACAGAAACCGCGGGACTGAAAGTGACGAAAACCGAAACAGTTACGTAGTAATGTTGTGGAACAAACGCTGTAGGATTTAAATTGCTGTCTTCCGTCTTTTCTTCAGTTGTGCTTCTTTCGCATTTTCAGGTGTCATACCCTGCTCAATTTATGTGTCTGTAGCAACGGCTTATTTGTCTTTCCCTCAGTTTTATTGTGAGTGTCGATCAGCTAGAGGCCTAACGTCTCAATTTTACATTATACTGTAATGACAGCAATGGGAACCATACCTTACGACAAGTAAATTTCATTTTTTATACTGGTAACTGTTCATTCAACTTAGTTTACAATAACATTTATCATTATTTTTTGTTTTAAAAAAATTGAACCATCAAGGTAGTTTACTTCATTCTTCTACCAACACCTACTTAGGCTGGTATTTGTGGGCCATGAATTAAAGAAAACATAGGTGGAATATAAGATATCGCATGACATACCAGTATGGCGTTCAAATATCGTTTCGAGAAAAGATTACCACTGGCCAAATGAAACACTAGAGGTACCATTCTGTTCACAAAAACTTGTACCTGCGCAGTTTCAAATACAGTGCAACAAGGACGATTTCCAATGGTGAACTCGGTACGCGGAGTTGTCGCAATGGAACCAAATTTCAGTCATACAATTCTCACAAGAAGCTTGACGCAAATAAATGTATTTTGCCTATATGTGCTCTTACATCTGTTCGATTGTTGTCACTTACCAAACGCCAGCATCATTTGCGGATATCTAGCTTTAAGTTATTGAAGTTTATCTTACCCCTATTATCTCGTAAATTTCGCTCCTTGCTTAGAGTAATCGCATATTAAAGTCTAAGCAGGTGGAAGACTAATAAGATCTTCATCTAAAACGGATGAAAAACAATCTACAGAAGAGGAAACTAGAGACATGTATAAAGTACTTTCAAGTAACCATTATAAGACCGTAAACGTTTTACGATGCTCCATCACTAGCGATTGTCTTCCTATTTTCCATAGGGTGTTTTTCTCGTGTAAACAGTTCATCAGCTAGTCTGAAGCTGCTAACATAACAGACCTCTAAACCCCAGATAATCGAAAAACATCTCTATTTTCGATTAGCCTGTGCATTTAACGTAACACATACCCTTACCTTACTTAAGGTGAAAAGAATTTCGATCTGAATAACCCTGTTCAGTTACAAAACTGCTTAAACTTTAATTCAACTATTTTAAACCATCCTTGGCGTTTGTACGACTGCCTACGCTTTTCAGATTGTCCATAGCATTAATTTTGACCTAATGAGAAAAGTGTTCGATATGTCCTTCTGCATTTCAAGCTCTCCTGTCAATCTTTAAGAGCATATTGAGTGAGCTGTTAGACCCCCAAAACATAATTATACGAAAGCCAGTAACTGTGCTGAAAGATGTCAGAGTTCATAACAACGGTTCATATAATGTTATGCTGAATTGTTCTTGGAATGTACAAGAAAAGACTCAAAGCTGAATTGATTGCCAGGTTATTAAGGTGATATTAAAATAAAAAGCCAGAAGACTTTCAAGGAAAACCCGTGGGTGACAGCACACAAAGTGACGAGATGAAGAAGTTAGATTGCATGGTTTTAAAAATATATCCTTTTATATTTTCTGCTAGATACAAGTAGATTCAGTGTACTCCGTCAGCCTAGCGAAGTTTTCGTCACTCGTTTAAGATCATTAATCATGAAATAAACAGGATTGTTGCTAGAGTGGCAAGAAAACTAAAACCGTCAACAATAGTGAGACTTTATTGAAGCAACGCAGATGACCCTATAAAATCTGCTACAAATTACTCGTGAGCAACGGAAGCAATGAGACGCTACCATGGGGTACCACTGTACGAGACGACGTAGCGAAACTGATATATACACATGTTGAACATAGTATCTCTGCTGAGTTGATCGAAAATAAACATTTCATGGACCATTGACACGGCTCACTTTTGTCCCCATAAGCTCAGTTTTTTGTCAACCACATTCCCATGCTCAGCTTTGATGAACTGAGGCTCAAAAAGCAAGAGTCACTTGTCCGACCGAGCACTTTATTGTGTCTGTCCAACAACCAATAGTCGAATTTTCAAAACAATCTAGCAGTGTAGACTGCGTGTAGTTAAAAGTCGATGTCGGTCGTTTTGGCAAATCCTAAAACGCAGAGCTAAAACGGTGATTTTGAAACACTCGAAACGTTTTGTGCTGCATTATGTTACCCATGTTCTACTGATTCCCATTTTAACTTCGCTTATCTAAATACCAGTGACTACAGGATATCCGCGCTGTGTTGGGGGGTATTTAATTTGATTCGGACGCCATTCAGGCTTGCTTATCTGGCATACAAACATTAGGCTACCCTGAAAAGTTACTCAGCAAAATAAACCCTGCTTATTCCTGCAAAAGAAGCCCTTTCACACAGTGACCTGTCATCTTTGCTCGACACGGATCCACTATGTTCACTGCCGCTTCGAGTCTTTGTGAAAGCTGCTCTTGAAGTATGGTGTACTAGCACACTTTTCGGCATCAAGAATCAAACGCTTTCTTTTAAAATATATACATTGTGTTAAATCTGTGCCTGGATCGAGCGTGTTTGATATGTGCAGTTGTATTTATGTTCTAGAAAAGCGTGCTAATTTACTAGTTTGTTCCTCTTTTAACTTTGTCATACTGAGATCCCTCATAAAAACTCGTCGGCCCATGTAACTACCTTGTTGACATTCGTTAATGTTTTTTCCATTGCTACACTACAAAGCTACTCGAGCCTCTAACAATGCTACGTATTTTTATATTCTCAATCATTCACAAATGAGGTCGTGTTTGAGGTTTGTTCTCATTTCCAATTACTTCGTTATTTTCATACTCGCGTGAAACTTCGTTCATAAACCGTCTTCTGGCTTTAATACAGACCTAATGTTCGTAATCTTTCACCTACGTGTTACCTCGGGCTCCTTGCATGGGCACAAAATATACAGATACTAGCCACTAGACGGTACGGGAATAGGGATAATACAACCGATGCTAAAAGGTTGATCTACACATCACCGACTACAGGCGGTTGCTCATGGACTTATCTTTCGTCTTAAAGACTCTCCAACTGCAGCTTCGTCTGAAGTTGCACTTAATTTTTTGAATTAAGGAGGACAGCATACATTAGGAGGCATCCGTTCACATTAGAAACGCTATAAATTCAACAACCCAAATCAGTAATGTATGGGTCCATGCATTCCGCGAACCTAAAGGTTGATAGAGAATACAGTCAGGTAATCACACGTCACATAAATCCCGCGAGTATCCGGTAAATGTACTTCACACAGTCCAGGTACCTGGAGATGTGAGCCAAAATCTGGAGGTCCATACACCACAATTTACTTCATCTCAACTGACAAACCGTATTACGGACTAAAGGAAGAAATTTAGCGAAGGTGAAGCCGTTTGTTTCCTTCGTTAACCTGAAGCTGAAGCTACGGCCACAGAAACTGAAGTTTCGATCTTCTAAAGCTAAAAACATCACACCCAAACCAGTAATCCAATATGTAAAATTAGATACCGCTCCTAATATTTTGACTCACCTGAAGAATACGCTTCATATACCTCGTTATCTAGTAACCCATCATCGCAGTCAGCGTCGATAGAGTTGCTCATCGGCTTCAGTGACATGAAACTTCCAGCCTTGCTGAGTGTTCCGGCAGTGCTCATGTTATCCCGATTTTGTGAGTTCCTGGATTTCTTTCCAATACTTGCTTTACAAATTGCAAGCCACGTGGTGATTTCATTTTCGTCGACGGATGCAATCAGAAGCTGTTTGTTACCAATGACACCAGAAGGGACGAGCCGGATTGCGAAAGAATCTCTGTCGTTGACGGTGACTGTGCGAACGCTGCATGATTTGTACTCGCTCAGATTACACAGAGCAGTAAAGCTTGTTGTTTTCGGTCGCTTTTCTGATGCATATCTTTCCTTCTTCCCGGTCTCTGCATTTTGAGTTTGGTCTTCATCAGAGGGGATACTTGGTGGTAAGGATTTAATGCATAAAAATGTATCGACGTCGTCTGTCAGTAATCGAACATCACATAAAACCCAATTGTCCTAAAAGGATAAGCTGTTATGCACCTAATAAGTATTACTTTCGCGGCCCTTATGTACGTTGATTTGACGTAAAACCTGCTGCTGAGGTTCATACCAATTTGGTAAATGTGGTTAGGTCATTTGGGCGTCTATTATTATCATGGCACACATAAACAATGGGTTCAGTCCCAGTTCACCATGAGTAAAATAGGTCAAATTACTCAGACAGATTTTTAACCAATTCGCTTATTTCGCTTGATGTTAACTGACCTACGTTGCATCTTGTATCAGCTTGGTTCATCCCCGCCCCCAAGTTAGCAAAACGATGTACCCTGTTGCACGAGTGCACTGGGTAGGAAGACGAGGCTTTGTTGGAAGCACTATCAGATATCGCGTCTAGGACCAGATTCGTATAATAATTGAAGGGAGGAGAATATATGGGCTCAAACACCTGAAGTGTTGAATAGAAAGAACTCCGCGTAAGCAACAGGGATGTATAAAGACACACGTGAATCAAGTGCAATGTCATGTGTATAACTGATATATCACATCCGGAGACAAAACCGCATGCGTAGATTAAATCCCTAGGACGGTTAAAGAGGGAAAGCATTGAAAATTTTTCCCGACATTATCATTACACAGTCTCGTCACCTGTCCTTCGGGAACACTAGCCGGGGCTCGGTGTCCGAGAAGGACCGATAAAAATGGAGGGTGGTAATAAAATTAGGGGGCAAATCAGCGGTTAAATGAACTGATCATTCTGATGACCTTTTTGAGGAAGGAGAGCGCACCGGCGAGAGGAAGGTTGGACGAAGAGTCAAAGCTTGAATAAGATAAAGTATGGAATCACAAGGCAGACACGCAGTCCCTGGAAATCCTAAAACGAATTATCATGGCATCCTGTTGAGCCGCTCGAGTTATTCTGCAAAAATGTTTCCCCTTCAAAATTCTCATCAAAGGATACACTCCTGGGGGACGCTGTGGGAGGACAGTTGGCTTATTTGTACACGGATAGAATAGGTTAGAGCTTAGGCATTGTGGGAAACGTCTCCAGACTCTGACAAAAATATTGGATGCCTTGAAAACCGCTGGCCTTAAAGTTCCCCTAGACGTTGTTCAGAAAGGTAGGGTGTGTTTTGCCGTTTTTGTGACCAAAGATATTGGGACAACAGATATGAAAATCGTTGGGCTCTCGTTAGAAGCCAGGTATCGCAGACTCATCCGTAGGTTCGAGTGACCTCGACACACTTGCCGCTGTGCTACACTCAACCTTATTAAGTGCTTTTGCAACCAATGAATATGGTGACAAAAGGAGCGGAATAGAAACAAAAAGAAAGATTGTCATGAATGACTTATTACCATTTTGTGTTTTAAAGTCACCAGTCGTCACTAAATGAAGGAAGTTGAATGCTAGAAGGCGAGGGTGGATGCGGGATCGGAACATCGTCTCCAGAAGTGGTTCATGGGGGTGGGTAAATAATCCAAATCAAAAGGAGATTACCACTCCCAGTTTTCTAGAACAGCCTGGGATGCTCTCGTGTAGAAGTGATGATGTGGATGTGTTTACTCTGGAAAAGGGCTGCTACTGTGCGAATAAGTGCACATAGAATCAGCAACTCTGTGTGAAGAGCAATCTCGGGATTAGTTGGAATTCAATGAGGGTTTAATGATGTTCGATTTTCGAAGGCAGCCAAGATTCGTTGACCTTGCCGGTTGCAGAGAAGCCAAGAACTAAGTTCCGTTAATCCAGTTTCCTTTTAGCAGAATTCTCACACACTATAGATGTGAATGATTTATTTTGACGTCTAGGAAATCGCACTATCCCAACCACCGCGAAGGTGTGACTACAGGAGCAACCGTGTAAGTATCTTCGCGCGCATTATGGTTATGGCCGCGGAAGGTTAGCGGGCGCGATTAAGTGCAGTTTTGGCAAAAGTAAGGCATAACAAGGCTGCGGATGAGTGTGAAAATGTGGTTTGGGATGCTGATATAAAAAAGTCTAAGTCCCAAGTGACTTGAAATAGACAACTATAGGCCAACCTGACAGGAAATGATGGAAGTTACGCAGCAAGTGAATTTCAGATAGCTGGCTTCATACGCACAAGTTGGAGGAGGTGGATGGTTGAGTGGAATTCTGCTAGAATCCCTTAGCTCGGAAACGGCGGGCCGAATTTCGGGTTGAGGACATCGCCGCTTTCCAAACTGAATTTCGCGGGCTTCGGGAGGTTGTGGGCCATGAGAGCGAACGTTACATCCCACGGCTGGTTTCTTCGATTTGAGAAGCTGAGACCAACACGAGATCAGCGTCATCAAGCTCGCGTTTGGCGCAAGATTGGGTGGTCGATTCTCACAAATGACATGTTGTATGTGGCTGAAGTGCTTGTCAGGGTTTGAGGTAGCGTGGAATGTTCCCAAAAAGTTGGTAGACAAACCGGATAAACAAAACGCCGCACCCGGGTGCTCTTAACCAATTTGATGATTTTATTAAAAACTGCGAAAAAATCAGAGTTCGGGAAGGGGCCCCAGAGGAAAGGCTAGCCTTCCGGTGGCAAAATGGATGACGTGGAATGTACCCTAGAGTTGCACTACTTGAGAGCGGTAGGTGAAAAGATGCCGAAATTCCATTAGAGACAGTGAGGAGAGAGTTGGTGATAATGTCTTTCCAAACGAGCTGCGAGGCTCTTTCAATTCTGAAGCTCGGGTGTGCTTTTGAGACTGAAGTTAATGGCTGAGAAGATTCAGGTTTTCGGGGTGAAGGGCGAGCCTCTACAATCGCATTATTGGTCCCTGTCAGAGTAGGTCATTGTAGCATTTTTAAGTGGTGATGCCGAGGTTTCCTAGATTCTCACACGCGCCTGTGAGGCGGATGATATGAGGCTGTCGTTTTACTTAGTGTAGCAAGGGCCGCAGAACGATTTATCGTTGTTGCGGTTGGAGTTAAAGCCCAGTTAGCTTCGGCGCAGAAATTCGTGCAGCTCATGCGCGTCCATGCACGGAAATTTTTGCACATTGTCCACAGGTTTCTGCACCCGGGCGCAGTTTCTGTGCGGAAATGAAACAGATTTCCGCACCCAGATAGCGCTCAGCCAAATTCATCCGGCACGCAAATTTAGCCCATTATATACATTTATTTCTTTTCCCAGTACGATTCGCTAACTTTCAAAAACACTATGGTCTCGTGCCGTGATAACCCATTTACCCCCACACCTTTCCTAAAAAAATTGCCTCCCTGGTTATAAGTAAGTGTTTCCAAGCACAGTTTTTATACGAATGAGTGAAAAAATACAGAGGAATCATCTGCCACTCCTGGTGGCTTTCTGCAGGCGTTTCCGAACTTTTTGCAGTTCGTCCTCCAGGCAGCGATAAACGATTTCCTTCATTTGTCGTAGACATGTATTCAGAAATTCCTCAGCTGTCGCGTCTGTAATGAAAATAATTGTTGAATTTCATCCAGCCACTTGTCTAGTTATCCAAAGATAAAATAACCATTGAATGCTTACAAATGCGTTCTTGGGCTAGTCTGGTTGGCCCGAAGGCTACTGTTTCATTTATTTCGCACCAGTGAACTTTCGTGTCAACGTCACTGTAAGTATTTTGGTCAACTACGGCTGTACATCGCCAGCCTCATGCAGGAGCCACCTTTTAACCTCCATGAAATCAATACTTGCGACTACGAAAAATATTTACCTGCTGTTCATAACGCGGACTATCTCTGAGTTGTTCTTGATACCTCTGGAGCTCATCCACTGATGACAGGGGTAGAAGAGGTTCACTGAGCGCGTGCGAAAATTGTAATGCTGAAAAGTAAAACAAGTGTAAGCAGAATACACGGAACGTTCCCTCCAACAATTTGCACTGGGATATCCTACGGCAAAAAGCTGAGTTGTTTGTAGTAACCGAAAGGGTCTCTATGGACCGCAGATGTGAGTGGCCTTCTAGTGCCAAATTGCTGGTAACAGGGGTTAGTGAAACTGCCGGCGAACGGCGTTATAATGCACAGCCTAGTTTATCCCCTGGGACAGTCAAATGCGAAATAGCTGGAACCTATCACTTGATTAATTATGAATCTTACTCTCAGCTGTTCGACTAAAGACATTGTGGACACAATCATATGTCGGGCAACAAAAACAGCCGCTTGCTGGAACCATCTGAAGTAATTTCCTAAGTGACGTTTTCTTGACGAGCCCCTACGCGCAACACGAAAGGAATTTGGGCGCAATGACGATTACTTGAAATCAAAAACAAATGTTTGCATTCTCGTACACGTAAACACTCCAGGCATAAACACATTAAAACACAACGAAACCGATTGTCCCGGCCGCAAGCGAGGACAAGCAGAACGCAGGGCTTCCCGCGAATAATAGCGCTACACACTAAAACAAAACCTCTTAAATCGGTCGACAGTCTATATTTCCGTAACGACCATAAAATGCAGGATTTTGCGGTTTTTTGTAACTGCGAGACAAACAGGGAAGCTTTGTTGCTTCTTATACGTCTTGATTCCCTGCGGCTCAAAAGCCAAACATTAGTTCAGGAGGTTGGCACAGCTTTTGCACAGGTTCTGAATTCGGGCGCGGATGCGTGCTAACTCGGGAGGTGGAGAGATAGTTGGGTTGAGTGCGCGTCAAATACGTGTGCGTGTAGGCAGGGGCGACGCAAACCATTCATTAACTGCTATAAAAGGTGCCAGACAAGACGGTACATTGCTCTCAGCAGAGGCCAGTGCAGTAATCATAATATCATTTGAAGCCTACGGTGCCTCTTAGACGGTTGGTCACACGATAATTACACTTTTAACGATGTTGAAACTCAAAAAATCTATACACGACCAAAAAATCGCAAGCCCGTTTGTAACCTGGCAAAAAGATGGAACCTATGCTACTCGACACATAGTTGGGTGATATTACAATACCCTACCAAAGGCTTAATCTGGGAGCCAACGACTGATGAGCGGATAAAATGCGATAAGTTCCATGTTCCCTGCCTCTAAATTGACCATCCGAGTCTGCTCGTAAGCGGGGCTCATCATGCCATGGGGCGCCATACCAGCAGCACCATTAGACTTTCACTGAGCGGAATCATGAACCGCAAGTCAAAGTGAAGTTACTTCTAA